TCTGCACAGACCGTGCATCTATCCCCTGTCCCCTCCCCTGTGTTGGAAGGTGGCTGATTGGGTCTCAGGAAAGGAGTCAGATTTGGAGCTCAGAGCTGTGCTCTGTCATTTGCAGGTCAGGCACAAAGTGGCATTGCTGGCAGAAGTCACCACTGCACAGGGTACTTCTGAGTAAGAAGAAGACTATTATTATCCATTTCATGGTTTATATTGCATAATTCCTCTACTTCACATTTCTTGTGCAGCAAATAATAAAAGTAAATCTTCAAATGGCCTAGAATAATGATATGCTTTGAGGACAGAGAAAAAGGATGGGCAGGGCCACCAATCCATGTGCTGTGAACTTCTGCCTCTGCCTTGCTCACTTGATTACCGTTGTAATAACTGTCACCAGAGTTGCTGGATCCTACAACCCTGGAAAGCAGGATTTATACAGAAGCACAAGCAGAAACTCAGATAGGACGCTTTGGTCTCAATCATTTCCAGGAAACACTTCCCCTGCGTGGGAGAAAGCCTTCATATATGTACTGTATCTCATATGTCTACTAAGATGAAGACCAGGCAAAGGAAGAGCCAACACACTAGGCTTTGCATATGGGCTGTCCCTGTAGGGTCCTGTGTTGGAAGTTTGGTTCTCTGTGTGGTAATATTATGAGCTAGTGGAATCTTGAAGAGGCGGGACTAGTGGAGGTCACTAGGTCAGGAAAGGAGCTTCCCTGGCAGGGACTGAGGCTGTTCTCCTGGAGTCCTGGTTGGTTCTCACACAGGTTGGTTCTCACTACACTCTCACTTCCTGTGTCACATAAACTCTCTTCTCATATCCTCCTGCCATTATGAAGCCATCGAGACATGACCCAACCATGGGGAGCCCTCACCAGAGAGGGAATCAGTGGGTCCATACCCGCTTGACTTTCAATCTGTAAGACTGAATGAAATAAAACTTTTGTCTTTATAAAATATCCAGTCCCAGCTATATTTAGCATAATAATAGAAAACAGAATAATGTAAAAATCACAGTTCAGAAAAAGAGAAACCACTAGCAGATTAGAAGATTAGAAAGTGATGGGGCTTGTGATGTCGCATGTCAGGCTGGGACTCAAATCTAGGGGTTTTGCCCTGCGGCCTCCAGTCTACTCCATGGGAAGGCTCTGTCACTAAGCCTGTGATAGAAGAGGGCACTTGAAACTCTCAGGGACTTTGGGCTCATAGAGGACCCTTTCCAGTGGGATACAGCACATTTGACTTTCATTAGTTGGAATCTGGGCTACAGAGTGCTATGGTTCCAGAGTCCCCTCAGTGATATTTGCCATATGCCCCTCTCTTTCATGACATTTCGAAACCCTCCAGTGGAAATCTGAACAACACTCTCCATTGGATTATAAAACCATTGAAATCAATTTCCCAGACTCTGGCAGTTTCCCTATCACTGGATTTAATTGGATCAGAGTTCTGAATTTGATATTGAGTTTACCTCATCCTTTATGAAAGGCATGAAAATAGTCCCTGCACTTTATCTTAAAACACAAATATTTGGTGGTGTACGGCTCCCATCAAAATAGAAGTCTCTCCTGTACTGGAGGGGCCACACTGTCATTTCAAAAATGCAAACTTCTGATGAATAGCACTCAATGAATTTTTGTGTCTTCTGTTTAATGGCCCTGGAATCATATTGTATGTTTATTGAGCAAGACTTTGTGTTTTAAGCACTATCAAAGTATATTTTTTGTTGCCGTATTACTTAGATTATAAGGAGTATTAAGACTTGGTAAGAACAAAGACTTTCACAATAGTAAGCAAAACAAAAATGTCACATTCAAAAATACATTGACATGAAATTGTGTCTGAAATTGCGCCAGTGGAGGTGGGGCCTGGGAGATGGCTCAGTGGAATAAGGGCTTCCCTGGCAAGCGCAAGGGTCTGAGTTCAATCCCCGGTTCCGAAAAAAAAGAAAGAAGAAAGAAAGAAAGAAAGAAAGAAAGAAAGAAAGAAAGAAAGAAAGAAAGAAAGAAAGAAAGAAATTGTGTCAGAACACAACATACTTTGTTCATTTATCTGACAATTACGTTGTGGGTAAATATTAAGAATCCCACTATAAGGCAGGAATACTTTTTGGCTTTCAGATAGGATGCTTTATCCTTTCTCTTGTTTACAAGATACCATTAAGCAAAGAAACTAAACAGAAACATGATAATTTTAGGTACCAACAAATATGAGTAAAAAGAGGAGAACTGGGTAGGAATGACAAATTTAAAAAGATACATAAAGGGAGAATTATTTTTTACATTGTTAGAATTGGATAGAAAGTCTATTTTTATATACCAGTCCATTTTTCATTACTAAAATGAAATACCTGAGTCTGAGTAATTTATAAAGAAAAGAGGTTTACTTTGGCTGATGGTTATCATCCAAAGATAGAAGCCCACATCTGGTGAATGTCATCTTATGGCACACTACGAAGCAGCGCAGGGGACACCATGGCAGGAAACTGGGAGCATGCATGTGTATTTTCTTGCTCTCTCTCTCCTTTCTTATGGGCTCCCTCCCAACAACTTGAATCTGAATCGCCACTTCCTAAAGTCCCAACCTTGAAGCGCAGCAGTCTATCATTTCACCTGCTTAAGGCCTCACAGTGGGGATTAAGTGTGAACCCAGGAGCCCCTGGGGACACACTGAGCCTCACTCAAGCTGAACCACACGTGTGCTTGCTTGTCAGGCCTGGAGTTAGCAAGTGGGCAGGAGCTTGCTTTAATTCGCTCAGCACCTATCTAAAAGATTCTCAAGCCAGGCAGCCCTCTTCCCCTGGGCTTTCTCTACCAGGATTTGCACTGAGCAGTTACTCTGTCAGATCATTAGTCTGCGGGTCAGGATATATGGAGGCCCGTGGTGCGGGGAGCGTGTGTATGTGCTGCTGTATGGGTTCCCACAAAGCCATTGCTCAGCCCACTGACCCACGCGTAACCCTTCTCCACTGAGGATCGTCAGGATTCTTCTAGTTTCTATTAAGTTCTCACACTATTCAGCTTCTGAACAAACTATTCTACTGCAAGCAGCAATTGATTTCTGCACCCATACCGCACTGTCGTAATGCTTTCATCCTGATAGTTAAAGCGCCTCTGGAAACTCCTTCTCTCCATCCTTAGATTTCTGAGGCTCTTCCCTCTGCCAGCCCTTATGTGTGGGTGGTCCTGGCCTGGCCTCCTCTCCCTTTGAGCTCCTCCTTTCTCCCTTCCCTTCTGCTCTCTTTCTTCTCAGCTGCTGTCCAAGGGCAAACTGGCAGGCCTTCAGAGAGCTGTCCGCTAGCATTAGGTCCTTGGCTTCACAGTCTGTCCCTCCACCCTCTCCAGCAGTCATGAGTGGAGCCAGTGGAGCTAAAGGAGGCCCTGGGTTCTCTGGGGCAGCAGGGCTGAGAGGGGCACCCCTCACCACGGGTGACGGGAAAGTGCACAAATTCCCTGCCCTTGCTGCTGTGGCCTCCGTCTCTTCCTCTGTCCAGGTGCTTGGAGCAGTGACTGTGCAGGATTGCTCTTCTGGACATTTACACGTACGTAGCTGCCACTAGCTTACCGAAATGTCACCACCGCCACCAGGCCTTTCAGGCCCTACTCTTTCTAACACAGACTCTGTGTTGGCCCAGAACAGAATTTACCCAATACTGGAACATATTCCCATTATGTTGGCTTTTTCATTAAGGTCTTCCACGTGTCACTAGACTTCATGCTCTACATGCCTGGGGACCTTCGGCCCCCTGATCAGAGGGCTGTGACCTTAGAGGACAAGCTCACCCACTCATGTGGGCTTCGTGATTAACACAAGCGAGGCAAGGGCAAATGTCTCGCCCACAGCACAAATTAGGAGCTAAGTCAGAAACCAGAGTCCTGTCCCTATGCCCCATTTCTCTGCTCTTTGCTCATCTTGGGGGTGGGGTCAACAGGGACTGGGAGAGGTGAAAGCTGTGTTCATCAGGACCTTCAACCATAACCATTACTACCACTGAGCAGGCTCACAAGGCGGTGTGCTTGGTCTTGGCCAACATAACAACTTGGATTTTACCTCCAAAGAGGTAAGGGCGTTGACGGGGAGTAACCACACACAGGCACAACCCCGGCAAGTTCTGAGCAGAAGACCCCCCCCCCCCATCTCTCTGGCCTGGAGTTTCCGCTCTAGCCCTTTTATCTCCTGAGTCCTGCCTGAGGAAGCCCCAACGCCCACAGGAGCTCCGGTCTTGCAGCAGGGTGCCTTGGCAGCGCATGGCCTGGCATCCGCAGGCAGGGGCTTTGGCCCGGCAATCCGGGTTCACCCCGGAGCGCGGGAGTGGGGGTAGCGGGGAGGGGCGGGGCGCAGCAGGGACCTCCTGCCAAGATCGGGCGGGACAATGGGGCCCCACCCCAGCGAAGGAGGGAAGGAGGGAAGTAGAGAGGGAGGCGGACTGCATGCGCTCTGCTCGCCGCGCGCTCGCTGCTGCTGCTGCTGCTGTTACTGCTGCTGCTACTGCTGCTGCTGCGGGGTTGGGGCTGGAGCTGGTGCTGGAGCGGGCTGGGAGGGGCGCCGGTGGGAGCGCGGAGGAGGGAGGAGGCGGCGGCTGCGCGTGTGGCGGGCGGGAGGGCGGCTGGCACCAGCCTTGTAAATAAACTGCGATGCTGTCTCGGGCTCGCCGGCCCGGGTGCCGCCGCCGCCCCGGAGCGCGGGTGCCAGGCTCCCGCCGCCACGCGCCCTAGCGCCTCCGCGCCAGCTCCCAGCGCCCTTGCTCGCTCTCGGCAGCCCCCGGTCCGTGCCCCTCGGGGTCCCCCGGCCGGCCCACGCGGGATGTGACCTCTACACTTCCCCCCGCCTCCTCTGACCCCCACGAGGCCCGCCTTTGCCTGCTTTTGGGGGGTGGGTAGGGAGGGGCGCGCGGATCATGGCATTGGAGTTCCCGGGCTTGCAGCCGCTGCCGCCCTCTGGTCCACGCACCCCGAGTGCCCCTTCTTCCCGGAGCAGCAGCGGAGAAGGCGAAGCGGCCGGCGGGGGCGAGGCAGATGGGGCTCAAGGCACGCAGGGCGGCGGGGGCGGCTGGCGGCGGCGGCGACGGGGGCGGCGGAGGCGGCGGGGCTGCTAACCCAGCCGGAGGGGACTCGGCGGCGGCCGGCGATGAGGAGCGGAAAGTGGGGCTGCCGCCTGGGGACGTGGAGCAAGTAACCTTGGCGCTCGGGGCCGGAGCTGACAAAGACGGAACTCTGCTGCTGGAGGGTGGGGGCCGCGACGAGGGGGTGCGGAGGACCCCTCAGGGCATCGGACTCCTGGCCAAGACCCCTCTGAGCCGCCCGGTCAAGAGGAACAACGCCAAGTACCGACGCATCCAAACTTTGATCTACGACGCCCTGGAGAGACCGCGGGGCTGGGCGCTGCTCTACCACGCGCTAGTGTGAGTACCCGCGCTGCCAGCTCGTTCGGACGCCCCTCGGCTGCAGCGTTATTGGGGTTCGGGTGGGGACTGGAGCCCAGGAATTCTATGGAGCTTTAAAACACCCAGGCTGTCCTCTGGCCCAGTGGGGGCCAACCTGCCCTCAGGGCGGGCGTCTTTTCCGCTTCCGTGAACCGCGCTCCAGGTGTGGAAACAAGGGCTTAAAAGAGCCAAAGCGGGGTTCCCCAGAGGATCTGGGGCTTTGCGTCTGTGCGCGCCGGTGCGCGTTGCTAGACCCTTCTGGGATGTCGATTTCAAAGCTTTAAAGAATTGCGTGATTTTTTTTCCTAATTAATACAGGGATTGGGCAAGACAAAACGGTCCTCACCTGAGCGTTCTTTCTGCTTTGGATGAATAGCTTGTCTTGGGCTCGTCGCTGAGTTCAGAGAATACGTATTGGAATTGGAGAGGGGAACACTGTGTGTGTGTGTGTGTGTGTGTGTGTGTGTGTGTGTGTGTGTGTAAACATTCCCTTTCCTAGGGCTTTGCACTTGTGAAAAAAAGAACCTGGTATTGAGCTACCTGGGGACTTGAACCGGCCAAAATGCAGGTCTTTGGGTTTCTTTTAGGAATAAGGGGGTGGGGATTTCTAAGTCTAGACTGAAAGGTCCAGGCTTAACAGAGTGAGGCCACAGACGTTGTTTTGGTTAAAACATCTCTGTGGTTTGGGCGCTGGTAGCTCCCCAGCCAAGCCTGCTGCTTCCCCTTGTTTTGACTGGCTGGGGCGCTGAGGATGCGGGTCGGGTGGCTTGGTCTGGAGGTTTGCCCTCAGCCTCCCTTCCCTCACTCTCCCTGTTAGTCTCCAGGCAAGCGCGTAGCCAGCAGGAAGATGCAGCTTCGCTGCTACACCCAACCTCAGGAATAGAAAATCCGCCTGCATTAAAAGAGGGAGGGAGAATGGTAGCCCTGTTCCCCAGCAAGGATAGGAAATTCTGGCTGTCAGCTCACACTCCTGGGCTGGCAAGGTACATCCAGCTACCAGCCTTGCTTTTTAGAAACCTGTTTGGCTAGCAGGGTTTTGGCGAAAAATGGTCCATGACTTTGACACTATCTCCCCTTGTGCCCTAAACAATGGATTCTCCTCTTTGGCTTCTTCCTGTTGACCCATGACTGAAAAGGTCCAAGGATTCAGGGAACCTTGGAGTTAGTTACATCCAACTGCCAGTCTTCCTTGTTTGGAAGCGCTTTTCCTGATTTGGCCACCAGGTGGGGGCGTCCACACAGGCCCTCGGACTCAGCAACAGGTTTCTTCAGCGATGCTACCAAGCCTGGAGAAGCTGCCTCCAAGGAAACCGAGGAACCAGGAGGAGGAATGTGCATTTGGGGTGGTCAGGCCTTTGGTGTCTGGTTGAGAGATGATGGAAGTGGTGGCCTGGCAGGGAGGGAGGGCTTAAGAATTGGGCTTTCCTTTGCATTGGTTAAATGTAAAGAAGAGGTTGTAGTATATTCTCCTCTATCTCTAGCACAGGGTTTAGCAAAGTGGAAGTGAACGCTGTAATATGTGATAGGGAGCTTAAACACAAGGAGTTGTTTGCATGCACGCAAACATGTGCAGAATCCCAGGTCCCTCGGCCTGTAGACAGTGTGGGTACCTATAGGCTGGCTCCCAAAGCTCCCAAAGGTCCTACTGGAGCTTGAGGACTTCCTCTTCCACTACCTCCCTTAGTCTGCATTCAAAGCAGCGCTGTTCTCATTCCAAGAAAGAGACAGCGAAGGCCTCTATTGGCAGGGCCTCAGTGTTACTCTCTGCTCGAATTGTGCCATCACTGGAAGCAGGTTTGTTTCAGAATGCTGGAGCCCATAGCCTCCCAGAGAGGACCTGCAGGACTTGGAGACTACGAGGGGGAAAGCCAGGTAGCTACTAAGGCACAGTCATAGATGCACGAAAACTTATTTTGGCTAATTCTCACAGGGCCTTAAGAGATAGTTATTATCCTTTCCATTTTGTAGATGAAGATAGGAAAAAGTCAAAAGATGGTCACTGGCCTATGATCACCTATCGAATGTTCCCAGAGCTCACATTGAAGTGCAGTGAGTCAGCGCTGTTGCTGAGCTCAGATCCTGCTCCTGACCCTCTCCCAACATCTGGGGGGCTTTGGGGGCTTTTCTAGGTGTTGCTGTATGCTCCTTTCTCCATGGATAGCACAGGTCCCCTTATACCTCTTCTACTTTCCCTTCTTAGGGCATGGTAGGAAAAAGGGGTCTTTCAGTCAAAGCCAGGGCTTGTCGGAACCTACAGAACCACACTGTTAGGAAAATGTGAGCCAGGTGGGTCCTGGGTCTGTGGATTTGGCTAAATTGGGAGTTATGCAGGAAAGCTCACCCTTTGAGTGGGAGACCCCGATGTTGAAGCCCACTTAGGGAGCAGCTGGATCGTGTATCCTTTCTCCAGCTCAGGAGATGGTCCAATCAGATGAACATAATTGAAACTTTCATTGATGATTCAGGGTTTTGCAAGGCATTGAAATTCATCCTTCAAGGCCTCTATTATCCAGCTCCGGGCCCTGGCTGATGGCTGGAGGGGGCCGGGAAATGGGGTTGATTATGAGCTCACAGCCTTGTGCATACTTTTTCTTTCTTAAATGAATCAGGTTTATGAGATAAGATTTTTTTCTCTTTCCTAAAGATAGAATACAGGAAATGTGGAGATCAATCACAATGTTGCTCTGCTCCTTTTGTCTTAAAGGCAAATCCCCTAACTTCCCCTGCCTATGGAACATCACTTTTGTCTAACTCTGCTGTCCGCGCCTCCTGGAAGCCTCTCCCTCACACCCCAGCCTGGGCTAGACTTGCCCCAGCTCTGCAATTGCTGGGCTGTAGAATTTTGCAGTTGGATCCATGTATTCGCCCATCTGCTCCAGTGAGCAGAGTTTTTTGAGAGCAGGGGCTGTGGTGGTTTTAGCATTCTCAGTCACTATCAGGCTGTGGAGCCCATGGTAGGCACTAAGTAAGCATTTGCTGCATGAATGCTTGAAAGAATTCTCTTAGGACCCTGGTTAATCAAGACTTCGCTGCTACAGTTCTGCCGTTATCATAATAGTAAGTAGCTAAAGTCAGCATTACAAGACTTTAATGAGGAGAACCGTCTTTAGGAGTGTTGTGTTGGGCTGTGGGGAAAGGAATTACGTAGGAGCCCCCAGAATTATTAACTCTGGTGAGGCTGATTACAGCTCTGCTTTTTCATCCTTTGGCTGAAAGAGGTACTGATGTAATGGAACACATGCTGGGTGTGGGGTTCACATCTAGACTTTATCAAAGTCTCGGTGATTGTGCAGGAGCTGAACTGGGACCTAGCAGATGGCAGCGACAGCACTGCCCCATCAAGGAGTGGCCTCCAGACTTCAAGCAAACGTTGCATATGAATGCAGTGAGCCTGGCATCAGACTCACAGTAATCATTAGTTGATTCTGGATTGGGAGCTCCTTAAACATCACTACAGCTGGCTCTGTAACTCTCCTGAGGCTACCCAGGACTCGCCCTTCCTAGCTTGTTAGTGGGGAGATGCTGGCTTCATCTTGGCCTTGCTGTTGGTTTGGCACAGTCTATACTTTTTTCTTTTTCTTTTTTTAATGTATTTGGTACAGAGCCTCACTATGCAGCTCAGACTTGTAGTGATCCTCCTGTTTTCAGCCTCCCCAGCATTGAGATTACAAGTGTGCACCACATATCTGGTCTCAGTGGCCAGCTTAGTGCACCCAGAGGTGGGACCGGCATGGCATGTGGCGCTGGGGATCGAACCTGGGTCCATGTGCTTGCCTAAGTAGGTTCTTAGTCCAGTGAGCTGTCTCACTGTTCTGGCACAGTATATTCTGCTGCCCTAGCCATCTCTCCAGCAGCCATGTGGATTGACAAACCAAGAGTAAATAAATACCCACTCACTGCTTTCTAAAGTAGGCTTGCTCCAGGGACATCTGGCAACTCTCAGTGATAAGACACACTGACCCAGCAGCTATCTTGACTAAAGAGCCTGCCTAGTGAACTTAACATGGGGTTTTATACAGGGTGTCTATGGATGTGAGAATGCCTAGTCATGTCATCGCAGACACACAGTAAATATCTTCTCTCTTTTGCTTCTCTTCTTCATCATATTCAATCTGCCACTTTCTTGTATCCATTCCGCAGTCCATGGCCCCTCCCATTTGTCATGAACTTTTATTTTTCTCTTAATTTTTCAGAACACAATCTCTTCCTCCTGGCTCTCTTCCTCATGACTCAGCCAAGCCACTGACAAAGAACGAATGAACCAAGCAAGGGGTTGACATCGGCAGCCGCAGGATGTCAGACAGTGAGGCTCCGTGCTGGGACTGTGACCACATGTGCATGGAATTTCACTGTCTAGGAAATGGACTCACAGCAAGTAGCCATCAGTGCTGGCTGTGAGGTTAAGCAGTACTTCCCTTACAAGTGACTCTGAGGTTCAAGGAGGTGAGGTGATTTTCTCAGGAGCTCCTCAAGCCGCAGAGCTGGGCTTACATAGGCTTCCTTAGCCACTCATGGTTCTTCCTTCTCCTTCTTGTGGTTGTATGAAATAGAAGACAGCAGAGGAGGACTGATGTGCCCTCTCTCAGGTCAGGAGTTCTAGTTGCATTTTTGATAAGTTCCCTGGGGAAACTGCTCTTTGCTTGCTGGTTAGGCGACTGTATTTGGAGTAACAAGACAAAACTTTTGACGTGTATGAGAACCATCTAAGCTATAATGGGAGAGAAATCTGCTAGATTTCTCTTGAAGTAAAGTTTTCAAACTTGTGTTTAATGAGACAAATTAACCTTAGCCTTATCTTATGTAACTCAGTGCATATGTATGGTGTACTGCCATAGTGTTTCACATGACCTGAACCTAAGCAGGAAGAAATAATAGAGAAATTCAAACCCTATGACATCTTGCCAGACATCTGATATGGCTTCTTTCTTTCTTTCTTTCTTTCTTTCTTTCTTTCTTTCTTTCTTTCTTTCTTTCTTTCT